CTCATTCACCAAGTAACGTCTTCAGAGACTTCACCATTCAAGGTTGTGAGAGACATGTTGGCCCTTCCATTCCAACATTCAGCAGTTATATGTGAAATTTTACCATAAGCAGCACATTTTGCTTGATGAAGAAACTGTCACGTCATGTTGGAACTGTTCCTCCCTGCTGATGTTATTCGTTGAACCCTGAGCAAGCATCCAGTAATTTGTCCTGTGTTTCTGTCTTTAATGAAGTAAGGAGCACTCTCCAACAACCCTGATCAATACAGTTGTACCTCAAACCGTGGACTCACAGAAGTTATAATTCAAAATTAGATAAACTATTGAAAATCATTGGCAGATGAGGATAAAACATTATAGGCCATACAACCAAATAATAGAATTTCTTCCTTGTAAGTTTGACATGAAAATGAAGAAGTTATCGTGTTTGTACTTCGCCCATCAATTTCATGCTCTCCATGTCAGTCAGGCATAATGACTTGTGATCAGAGAGGATGCTGCACGAATTAGGCGTGACCTTGAGTCACCATGCATTCATTCTTCAACACAAATTTCCCAGCATGCTTTGTAGAGCTGTCAAAACGTTTCAATCAATTGAATGAAGGTATTGATGAGTCAGTAGAAGAACACATTTAATCATTGATTCTGTCCCAAAAATATAAAAAGTGTGTTTGACACATTTTCAAAACTGTAATGTTAAAACCTAAATGCATTTAATTAACTTTGTTTTTACCCAGTAGTGTTCAGTACAGCTATTAAGGAAAATAATTAGGAAATCATTTTGTGAAATTTGTCTCTTATCAGAGCAAAAGAACCCAGCTTGTTTGAGTTGTGTTTACACATGCATTGAGTCAACAGAAAATCGCAGGAACGTGTTTACAACTCACAATATGTTTATAATTTTGTTGAAAGCAATTGACTGTTTCCTCATCCTGTTTGTGCAGTAAGGAAAATACATGGAGAGTGTATACTTTCCTGTATACAGATGACAAACATATTCTTGCTGGACAAATAACCTAGATAGTACATATTCATGTCCAAGCCATCTCCACCTGCAGTGAGTGAGCCATTCTCCCACAAAGTACAACACCCTGGCTTCATGTATTGGTATTCCCCTTCCAGTTAGATGGTAATGCATTTCAGATTGGAATTATTCAGGGTTTAGGAAAACAAAAGACTTCGATCTGCCGTCAGAATAAACAGTTATTTCCTGACCATGACTATGAGGGAGAAATCTTATTAAGCTGAAATTTCTTGAAGGGCACAGTCTGTCAACATTACATTGGCATCGACCAATGCTGTGTATTCACAGACATTCAGCGCCTCTCCCCAGAGACTTCTTTGCCCCATTCTTTGGCAATTCTTCTCATATCATCACAGTTTGTCAGCAAGTGTGAAGTCTTTGCGTTGCAGTTATGCTCTAAGGATTCAAAATGTCCCGACTATAAAATGTATATGACGGATTGAGAGTGGTGAAAATGATATCTTGTGGTATAATGGCCATGAGGGATGGCTAGCAGGGCGATATACAGCACTGCTATAAGATAACCTGGGGCGATGCGGAGGAGGACTGGGAATGTACACTGGAACCTCCTGCCAGGGGAGTGTTGAAGTCTGTTTCAGGTTCACATCTTTCGGTGTTAGTTTATTGTCTTATTTTGCTTCCAGTTATGATAAAAATAACAACAATAATAATGCATGTGTTGCTGTAGTTGAACCCAGATCATAATGTCGGGAGACAAGAGACTGAAAGTCTTTTCATGGGTTGCTGAAGACTGTTTCTAAGCCTGACCTTCATTTGGGAAGACAAGATGGGTTGCTGAAGCCCAATTGTTAGACTGGTCTTCATTAGGGGAGACAAGCATGGGTTGCTGAAGCCCAGTTGTTAGACTGGTCTTCATTAGGCGATACAAGCATGGCTTGCTGAAGACAATTGTTTGACTGCTCTTGCTGGGAAGACAAGAGTTGTGAAGCCCTGTTAGACTGGTCTTCATTAGACGAGACAAGCATGGTTTTGTTGAAGCCCAGTTGTTAGACTGGTCTTCATTAGGGGAGACAAGCATGGGTTGTTGAAGCCCAGTTGTTAGACTGGTCTTCATTTGGGAAGACCTGAAGCCCAGTTGTTAGACATGGGTTGCTGAAGCCCAGTTGTTTGTTAGACTGGTCTGCTCATTAGGGAAGACAAGCATAGACTGGTCTTGCTGAAGCCCAGTTGTTAGACTGGTCTTCATTTAGGGGAGACAAGCATGGGTTGCTGAAGCCCAGTTGTTAGACTGGTCTTCATTAGGGGAGACAAGCATGGGTTGCTGAAGCCCAGTTGTTAGACTGGTCTTCATTAGGGGAGACAAGCATGGGTTGCTGAAGCCCAGTTGTTAGACTGGTCTTCATTTAGAGACAAGCATGGAGACAAGCATGTTGAAGCCCAGTTGTTAGACTGGTCTTCATTAGGGGAGACAAGCATGGTTTGCTGAAGCCCAGTTGTTAGACTGGTCTTCATTAGGGGAGACAAGCATGGGTTGCTGAAGCCCAGTTGTTAGACTGGTCTTCATTAGGGAGACAAGCATGGGTTGCTGAAGCCCAGTTGTTAGACTGGTCTTCATTAGGGGAGACAAGCATGGGTTGCTGAAGCCCAATTGTTAGACTGGTCTTCATTAGCGGAGACAAGCATGGGTTGCTGAAGCCCAGTTGTTAGACTGGTCTTCATTAGGGGAAGCCCAATTGTTTGACTGCTCTTCCTTTGGGAAGACAAGCATGGTTTGCTGAAGCCCAATTGTTAGACTGGTCTTCATTAGGGAGACAAGCATGGGTTGCTGAAGCCCAATTGTTAGACTGGTCTTCATTAGGGAGACAAGCATGGTTTGCTGAAGCCCAGTTGTTAGACTGGTCTTCATTAGGGAGACAAGCATGGTTTGTTGAATCCCCAAAACAGTGTAAATGGACGTAGATAGAAGTGACAAAAGCCTTTCCATATTCATAAGAAATCTCTGCCAAAAGCAGAGTTGATTGTACAATTGTGACTATATCATGAACAGATATTTGTTTCAGCAGTATTACAGCTATATGATGTTGTTTGTAAACAAATCGGGTCTGAACCAGACAATCCAGTGATCTTCTATTGGGGAGACAAGAATGGTTTCCCATGCAGTCCCTGCAGTGCCTGAAATGGCCAACATCTTGATCTGGGGCAGTTTGTATCGGTCAAGTACTCAGTTGTTTAGTGTTGCAACTCTCGCGCTTAGATTCGTGAAATATTTCCTCCAGTGGATTATGTATACAGGTAACACAGGAAAGAAAGATAAATATCTTCCTGTTAATGTATATGCCAACACACAAACAGAAAGTACAATCCTTTTCTGTTTTGGAGAGCTGACCGGTAGTCCCTGTGCCATCATTCAGAGAATACTGAGATTAGGAATGGGTTTGTACAAGGTGTCACAAGCCTGGTGGTGAGTGTTCATGCACTGGTTGTTAGTGTGTAGAGCTTGATAATGGAGTAAAAACTATACACTGACATGTCACTACACGTAATAAACCAAGAAGGGGACCGAACCCTGATCTTCAGCATGGAGAGCTTTTACCACTAGGCTACCCCACCACCCAACTACTGTAAACGTAGTATATTTCGGGGATAGGGATTTCCTGTGAGTAAACAAATAAACGCCGCCTGACAGGTTAAGCCACTCTGTTTGTTTTCACTGCTATTAGTGGCGGCCAAAGAGACAGCTGGCAGTTCCGGCAATTACTGATTGCGCGAATAATTGACCGTGCGATGTAGTCTAAACTGTCAATTCGCGAAAATTTCACCACGCGAAAATAGGTACGTTTACAGTATGTATTACCTCCATGTTGTCTATCAACACAACATCATGAACATTGATCTACGCATTGGGGATACGATGACATGTGTCAACCAAGTCACACTTACGACCAGAATGTATTGGTCTTCAGTAACCCATGCTTGTCGTAAGAGGCAACTAATGGGATCGGGTGGTCAGGCTCGCTGACTTGGTTGACACATGACATCGTATCCAAATTACATAGATTGTTGCTCATGATGAAATGTCATCGTAATCCCAATTGCGTAAATCGATGATCATGATGTTGATCTCTGGATTGTCTGGTCCAGACTTGATTATTTACAGATCGCCGCCATATAGCTGGAATATTGCTGAGTATGTGTTAAACAACAAACCAACCAACCAACATATATACACCCAGGATCTTGTTGAAAGTGTTCTCTATAAGATTTAACACTAAGCTGTATTGCCCACCCAAGGCCCAGCTGAAAGTGTCAATGGTGTATTTACTCTGTCTACCTGACTACAGACCTCTGGTGGCCAACTGTGTACAGCTGTGTCCCTGTCAACCCCCGACCACCACCAGCCAGCCATGTAAGTGTGCATATATGTAGTGCAGTGTCACAGCCGATCACACTGTCGTGACATGCTAATGATGACAATTACATAATTGGTGACAACTGGGGAAGTGTTTCTGGTTGTTCACGTGTTTCTGGGCTACAAATAACATCTGTATTCAGGCGTTTATGATGCATCAGTTTGTATGGGAAAAACGCTAGCTGTTCTCACATGATCTGTCAGTTTTCACAGATTACCAGAACATGGATGACGCTCCGAACGTTAAAGTTAGAGCTGCTACTATGTAGGTATAAGCTGACAGCCCTCATGTCACATACCTGCAATTGTTGAGGGTCCCATCCCCCTTTGTAGGCTTGTCACATGTCACATCATCTATGTTTAGTTTAACAACTCTTGAGTCATATCAGTGTTTTGTTACTACAAGTTAATTACTCTGACCATGCTTGCTGATCTTAGGGACAAAATAGTTTAGGTGATTTGTATGTTTGTTATTGAAAAATTAGAATCTGTGTACCAGATAAAGCTGGGGCACCCTGTGTACTCCACTGGGACATACAGAATGCCACTTACACAAATACCTTGTCAGGCATACCAAAATGGGGTCGGACAGAAGATTTGCTTGTATCAGTGTTCTTGTTTCCCACGGATGAGAGACGATTTGGGGACCAAGGCGTTAACAGTGTGTCAAACTTCATGTGTAACAAATAAGAGACATGGTTTGGTAAAACACTTCTTGACATGTGCTCCGTTTTTAATATTCATATTATGAATGGTCGTTGTGGCAGTGATGCACAACTCGGAGATTTTACTTACATAGGTCTGAATGGTACCAGTGTTATTGATTATGTTATTTCGTCAGCAGCATTATTTGACTATGTAAATGATTTCAGTATACAATCATGCATAGAATCAGACCATCTTCCCATTATATTACGAATAAAATCAAATCATAATAGAAAAGCTGATACACATGATAAAAGATCTGAAATTACGTACAGGTTTACTTGGGATAATGATAAGTCAGGACAGTTCAGGGAAAATTTGCTATCTGAAAACGTTCAGGAATTGCTAGATAAATCTGTTGATTGTGCTTTCACTAGTATAGATGAAAGTATACGATATATATGACAGATGCGATCTGTTCAGCGGCTTCTTGTATGAGAAAAAAGTTGGTCAATCAAAAGCATACTTGAAAAGTTGGTTTGACTCAGATTGCAAAAAAACTAAAACCGAAAGATGCAAATTTCTCAATAAGTTCCGGAAATGTAAAGACAAGCATTCATTTGATCAATATTGCATCGTAAGAAACCAATATAATGCACTTTGCAAGAAAAAACGTATTGACTATTTTAGAGAAAAACGAATAACAATAGAAAATAGCATATCTAATTCCAAACATTTCTGGTCTGAACTTAAACGTTTAAATAACCATCAAGTAAGGCAAAACAATATTCAGATACATGATTGGTTGGCACACTTTGGGCAACTCTTTTGTGGTGTTCATACAGTAGATAATAAAAATGACCATAATTATCATGACAATACAGAGCAGACCAACCTGAGCCGGCAAAATTCAGAACTTACGGCAGATATACTTGATTCACCAATCACTAGAGAAGAGATTTTTGAAAGTATTGACAATCTTAAATCAAACAAATCACCAGGATTTGATGGCATGATATCAGAATTCTTTAAACACTCGTCCGACCTTATATTGCCATACCTAGAACTACTATTTAATATCATATTGGAAAATGGTACTTTCCCAAAATGTTGGACGATTGGTATTTTTGTTCCGATCCATAAACATGGTGATGCAAATAACCCAAATAACTATAGAGGAATAACATTACTTAGTATATTTAGTAAAATTTTCACTTTTATAGTTAGTAAGAGACTTGTAAGCTGGGGAGATACAATGGATAAGATAAATGAATCTTAAGCTGGATTTAGACATGGATATACCACTGTTGATAACATGTTTATTTTACAAAGTATAATACAGAGATATTTGAATTTAAAAGGAGGAAAAGTATATGCCCTATTTGTAGATTTTGCTAAAGCCTTTGACTCTGTCCAACATAACAAGCTTTGGTCTCTATTTCAATATCATGGTCTCAGTAACAAAATGAGTAAACTTTTGACTAATATGTATGAGAACTTGAAGGCATGTGTTAAAAATAATCAAGAATTTTCGGAAACGCTCAAATTAAAACTTGGTGTAAGGCAAGGATGTATACTTAGTCCTTTCCTGTTTTCATTTTTCATCAATGAGCTTGCTGTTCAAATCGAAACTAATTGTTCAAGTGGCATACAACTTCACCCAGAAATATTTAAAATCTTCCTTCTGTTGTTTTGCAGGCGACATTGTGTTGTTTTCAAGCACCGTTAGTGGCCTCCAAAATCAAATAAATGAACTCGAACATTACTGCGATAAATGGAAATTAACAGTAAACAGAGAGAAAACAAAAATCATAGTCTTTAAAAAGGGAGGTAAACTTTCTAAAAAAGAAAAGTGGTTGTTTAATGGTATACATCTAGACTGTGTTAGCTATTATAAATATTTGGGATTGTATTTTACCAATGGTTTGTCTTGGAACATGCATGTCAAATATGCTTTCCAAGCAAAAAGCACACTTATTGGTATTATGAAGACAGTAAGTACACTTGGAGATATTAGTTACAAAACCTTTTTAAGATTTTTGATGCAAAGATAAACCCAATTTTGACGCACGGAGCAGAAATCTGGGATTAGCAGACTTTCATCAAATAGAAAGAATACACTTGTATGCATGCAAGAAATATCTTGGTGTTAAATTGAATACAGTTAATGCAGTAGTTTATGGTGAATGTGGCAGATATCCAATGCACTTGTTTACAAGCATAAAAGTTGTCAAATATTGGTTAAAACTGTTAAATATGCCTTCATATGGGTTACCTAAAAAAATGTTATAATATGATGTTATTGTATGATGAAAATGGACAAAGAAATTGGACATCTCATGTTAAGAACTTCTTATTCTCTGTTGGCTTCGGAAACGTTTGGAATGCACAATATGTAGAATCACATCGCCATTCATTCAGTCGTTAACCATAAGACTTAAAGACATATATCTTCAAACATGGTTTGAGAAAATATCTTTGTCAAGTAAATGTTTTACTATTCAAAATTTAAAAAGATTTATTCAATGAAGTATACTTATCATGTGTTAATATAAAGAAATTTAGGCGAACACTAGCAAGATTCCGATGTTCATCTCACGATTTGTTGATTGAAAGCGGCAGATATAAAAATGTTAAAAGAGAAGAGAGAATATGTACACTTTGTCGTTTAAATGAAATTGAAGATGAATATCACTTTCTCCTCATCTGTCCATCATATAATTCAATACGATGTAAATACATTAAAAAATATTACTATATCCATCCAAGCATCATAAAATTCTCTACCCTTATAAGCAGTAAAAATCAAAATATATTACAAAATCTTCATCCACACTGCAATGTTGTATAGAACAAAAGTTTTATCACTGTAATGTAAATATATTTATTTATGCAATTCCCCATTATATATGTATATGTACTAAAGGCCTGTGGCGTCTTCAGTACGAAATAAAGATGAAAAAAAATGGTATTTGTGATGCTTTGCTTTTGTTGGTGGTGATTCTCTTATTTGAATTGAAACTTATTAAAAATATTACAGTCATTAACAGGGTTAAGGGGGTTCCTGGGATCCAAAAGCTTTACTCCTTTGGTTTTCACCTCTTATCACCCCTAAATCAGACGTAGACAAGGACCCCTAAATTGTCCTCCTGTAACATCAGACGTAGACAAGGACTGCATGATTTTCAAAAAATATTTTTGAACACTGCATGTCACTACAGCAAGTCGGTAGAATCCTGACCAGACATGGCTATGTGAGAAGACTGCAGCAGTAGTGATGCATATCGCCAGGTAGTGTCACATTGTTGTGCAGCACCTGCTTTGTCCTGATCCAAATCTAGATCAACAAGCAGCAGGGTTTGTTTGCTTGAATTGTTTTGTATAGATTAATATAGGGTTGCATTGGACATAAACTATGAAACATGCAGTCAACACACAATGAGTTGGTTGTTGTCATGGAGGAAGCCTTTTGTTGGGTTGTGTGTTGTTGCACTTACAATATTCCTGCTAAATCATGGCAGCCTGTAAATATTGTGTCTAACAGAACCTGGGTCATATGTCTGGGTGATACAAAGGTGTGGATGTAGTGTAGGTGTCTATACATTCAACAGATGTAGGTGTCTATACATTCAACAGATGCAGGTGTCTACACATTCAACAGATGTAGGTGTCTACACATCCAGCAGATGTATGTGTCTACACATTCAACAGATGTAGGTGTCTACACATTCAACAGATGTAGGTGTCTACACACAGATGCAGGTGTCTACACACTCAACAGATGCAGGTGTCTACACATTCAACAGATGTAGGTGTCTCTACACACTCACATACACATCCAGCAGATGTAGGTGTCTACACATTCAACAGATGTAGGTGTCTGCATATTCAAGACTTGTAGGTGTCTACACATTCAACAGATGTAGGTGTCTACACATTCAACAGATGTAGGTGTCTACACATTCAACAGATGTAGGTGTCTACACATTCAACAATTGTAGGTGTCTACACATTCAACAGATGTAGGTGTCTACATATTCAAGACTTGTAGGTGTCTACACATTGAACAGATGTCGGTGTCTACACATTCAACAATTGTAGGTGTCTACACATCCAGCAGATGTAGGTGTCTACACATTCAACAGATGTAGGTGTCTGCATATTCAAGACTTGTAGGTGTCTACACATTAAACATTTGTAGGTGTCTACACATTGAACAGATGTAGGTGTCTACACATTGAACAGATGTAGGTGTCTACACATTCAACAGATGTAGGTGTCTACACATTGAACAGATGTAGGTGTCTACACATTGAACAGATGTAGGTGTCTACACATTCAACAGATGTAGGTGTCTACACACTCAACAGATGTAGGTGTCTACACATTCAACAGATGTAGGATTATGTTGCTGTAGGGCACTATGTGTGGGAACAAATATCCATTCCGAGAGAGATAGACACAAGAAATGTTCCTGGAAGCTTGAGCTCAACATCAACAACTCCTTCCACTTTGACAGTATATTTCTGTTTTGTAACCTTGTGCCAGAAATTGACCCAGCACAATTAGCTAAATGACCTGCGACAACAATCACAAAGATGGTAAATACGCCTGGATATGTATCATTAATAGAAGCTAATATCTGCCACCCTGAGGACTTGCCCCTCAGGAACTGGAGTGAATAAGGACCAAGCTCCCAGTTGATCCGTCGTTGAATACGCAGATTTGGTTCCATAGTCGGAAACTCTGATAAAATGCCGCTGGGATTTCAGACAGGACCAAACTGCCAGTAAAGTCACTGAGGCCACGTTCACAGAGTGTTCCTGCCTTCTGCTCTCAATTGGAACAACATTACAATATGCTTATTGATTGCTTCTCGGGCCAAGGGTTAATTTCTTCCGGTGGATTGAAGAATGCCCATTCCAGTACAGCCATCTGATATGACCTTCTGTGATCAGTTGGAACTGCTGAAATTGTAGTTAGGGTTGTGATAAATGAGTGAATTGTACAAAATTGCAATTGTGGGATTATAAGGAATGAAACTGATACGGATGGTGATTGGGTTCTTGTGATACATGGCAGATGGACCATTCATGCAGTTGGTGGAGCACCAAGAGCTGACATCTTCTACACAAAAGTCCAATAAAAATGGGGACGTTCTGGGAAATGTGATTTTATGTTACAGCAGAAGGTAATTTAGATAACATATCACCCATGCTGTCATTTTGTGGAAAAAAGGTATTAACGTTGTGTAAGATGAGTCCAAAATGACATAAACAGGAGATACCTCTGATTGCCGACTCTGATTGTCCGGTTTGTTTTATAACAGAGAAAGGTTATTCTGGAATTGTATGGGCAGACATGTCAGTATTCATTGGAATCATAGTACTGGGAGTATAATTTCTACTGAAGGTCCTTTTGGCATTTATCTATATTGTCATTTATGATGGTGATTGTTAAATTATACTGGTGGGATTCCAAAGGGATTCAAATGATATTCTGGAATATTGATTTACTGGATGTATAATTTTCTCATTTGTCTGATGTTGTTTTGTGGTGATGAGAACTTTTGTTAATTTTGTTTCCATTCATGCAAATATAGCGTCAGACATCTTACATCCGCAGCTGGGGAAATCATTATTATTTCACAAGGTTGCAACATTTTCCTTTGTCCACTGAAATGTTCTAATCTTGTTATCCCTGGCAAATAGAATATTTATGAACCTTTTTTAAAAAGCAAATTTTCTGTGAACCTTGCACATTTTTCATGAACAATTGATTTGTAAGATTAGAATATTTAAGTACTTGGGGGACATTGGGTTGGGATGAATCTACCACTCCATCAGTCAGGTTTCTATACATTTAATCCCTAAAGGATCAAGATGTCAGGCTGACCATGAACAAAATAGTGATTCTAGTTGTTTACTTTGCTGCAAAATGTATGGGGTTTTTCATCGTTTTCGCCTTGATGCCAAAAGCAGAATTTCCAAATGAATTTTGAATTGTGTACAGATCTGTGTGATCAAAGTAGACCGAATGAATAATTTCACAGGTCACTTGAGGAAAGAAGTGTTCCTTTTTTAGAGTAGTTGACCTAATTCAGACGGATGTTTGAGCTAGGAGTTTGGAAAGCAGTTTGGAAATTAGTTTAAGACTAATTAAGATGGATGTTTGAGCTGTAAATTTGAAAATCTCTAAACATCTCTTTCAGCTGGGAGTTAGGTATGTTTTAGGTGGATGCTTGAGTCTGGAGATAATTTAAGGCTTCTAAAGATCTTGTCTGTTGAAAATATGGGCATAATATTATTACAAGGGAGGTTGCAGCCATTTCTCAGCTCACCTGGCAGTTCTCAGCTCAGTCACAGATTCAACATGTTAATGAGACTTCGGACTTCTAACTCTCTCTAGGTTTATTCCTGCTTCTTGTTGATCCTTGTTGTTTGTTTTCAGATTTGGAATTATCTATAATACTGTGTGTGAGGACGGGAGACTTCTACAGATCCAAGCAACAGGTAAGACCTGAAGTATCTTGCTCTTACAGATTAATTGGAGGTAAAAATACTGGGTTGACATACATCGTTGTTCTACGGAGCCAACATAGAGCAAGCTTACAATGTCTGTAAACGCATCATGGTAATTTTTAAGCCAGACTGTTTGGTTACATGGTTGAAGGGTGATTGTGTGTCCAGTGGGGTAAGTTACATGGTTGAAGCCAGACATGTTTGGTTACATGGTTGAACTGTGTGTCCAGTGGGGTAATGTTTGGTTACATGGTTGAAGGGTGATTGTGTGTCCAGTGGGGTAATGTTTGGTTACATGGTTGAAGGGTGATTGTGTGTCCAGTGGGGTAATGTTTGGTTACATGGTTGAAGGGTGATTGTGTGTCCAGTGGGGTAATGTGTGGTTACATGGTTGAAGGGTGATCGTGTGTCCAGTGGGGTAATGGTTACATGGTTGAAGGGTGATGTGTGTGTCCAGTGGGGTAATGTTTGGTTACATGGTTGAAGGGTGTCGTGTGTCCAGTGGGGTAATGTTTGGTTACATGGTTACATGTAATGATACATGGTTGAAGGGTGTGTGTCCAGTGGGGTAATGTTTGGCTACATGGTTGAAGGGTTACAATGTTGGGTAATGTGTGTCCATCATGGTTACGGTTGAAGGGTGATTGTGTGTAATGTTTGGTTACATGGTTGAAGGGTGATTGTGTGTGTCCAGTGGGGTAATGTTTGGTTACATGGTTGAAGGGTGATTGTGTGTCCAGTGTGGGTGTCGTGTGTGTGTGGTTACATGGTTGAAGGGTGATCGTGTGTGTCCAGTGGGGTAATGCTACATGGTTGAAGGGTGAGTTACATGGTTGATGTTTGGTTACATGGTTGAAGGGTGATCGTGTGTCCAGTGGGGTAATGTTTGGTTACATGGTTGAAGGGTGATTGTGTGTCCAGTGGGGTAATGGGTACATGGTTGAAGGGTGATCGCAGGTGTCCAGTGGGGTAATGTGTGGTGCATGGTTGAACAGTGATTGTTACATGGTTGAAGGGTGATGTGTCCAGTGTGTCCAGTGGGGTAATGTGTGGTTACATGGTTGAAGGGTGATCGTGTGTCCAGTGGGGTAATGTGTGGTTACATGGTTGAAGGGTGATCGTGTGTCCAGTGGGGTAATGGTGTTGTGGTTACATGGTTGAAGGGTGATCGTGTGTCCAGTGGGGTAATGTGTGGCTACATGGTTGAAGGGTGATCGTGTGTCCAGTGGGGTAATGTTTGGTTACATGGTTGAAGGGTGATCGTGTGTCCAGTGGGGTAAATGCACACAATTATTCAACAATTACAACATTGGAGGATAAGTATTTCTTTTTCAAATACTTGTCGGAAGCTTTGCCTTGAGCTCATCAGTCTTGCAGTTCATCATTTTGTCAGCTCATAGACAAGTTTGTGTAAAGATGAAATAGAAAATATTCCTCAGGTTTGATTACTTCTCACAGCAACATTTTGATGGTTGGTGAATCTGGAAATGTGTCAAGTGGGTTACAATTATTTCTTTCATGTTTTCAATTAGAAAACCCCCAATCTCAACGTTAAAGATACGGTCCAAAGTTCTACTTCTCACTCATCAGTATGTTTTTAAGCGTCAGGGTTAACACTGATTTGATCAACCTTCAATCATACGGAAGGAGTATTGAAGCGAGCGATATTAACATAAATGTAATCATAAGATTTGTCTAACATGTTATTTCCAGCAGCAGGAGCATGTCTTGACTGAGTCTTGATGAATGCCTTCATCAGGATACAGTAACTGATTTGACGCTTAGTGGTCGTTAAATGACAGTTAGATTGATAACTGGCGTGAGCCAAGGAATAATGTGGTACTGTGGTCATGAGGAAGGTGATTGTGCAACTACTACATCCATCCAATGTATTGTTCATATGCGAAACACAAGTATTCTTGTGTATGTATGCAATAATGATGTATGATAATTGAATTGAAACTTCTTAGTTTATTTTTCATACCTCTTTTGCATAATGATGGTATGAAGAACCAGTGTATGAATGAAGGATTATTTTACTCTTTTTTGTGCATTCGTTGAATGATAACCGACACATTCTATAAAATCGCATCTTCTTATGTGGTTTGTTTCTCTTGAATTTGACTAAAAGTACATAAAAAAAGCCCTGAATTCGTTGAGGATACATTTCTGCTATCCCAGTAGTTACAATTGTAAAATTGGGTTGAGCTGCTTTCATAGATTGCTCCATATATTTTCAAGTAATAGGGACATGAACTGAAATGAACACCTCGATGTTCAAAATCCTGATCAATTGACTCAACATGTCTGTAGTACAAGCATGTACATGGGTGGAGATTTTCTGACAATCTCGCCTTTGTGCATGTTGTGCATCACCTCAGTGTTTTGTCCGAAGTTGCTGGAGCATGGCACTGTTGCTGAAAGCGACAGTTCACATTGAAAGTTATTTCATTTTGCATAAGATTATATAAAGTAGCACAAGTAGCAGAGTGCAGAGTCATCCTACAGATGACATTTTTCCACCAGCTAATGGAGTCAGTCATGTGAAGAGGGTGTGTGATCTTGGATCAGAATAGTTTGAATTTGATATGAACATGCACAAATGACATACAGGAGCCCGTGAAATTCTAGATTTCTCAAGTCTAGTCCAGTGAACCAGTGTAAACCCTATTACACTGGTCCTGAGAGTTTGTAGCTAGCCCTGCTTGAATGAGACAAATGTGTGCCATGTCTACATTAATGTCAGTTTTATTTAGCTCCAATTTGTAGAAAAATCCAGCATTAGGAACTGGTTCATGTGCTTCCTGCAGGGAGGACTACCATCATGTCTTGTATTTGTCTTTACCACATTTTAGTAGCCTTGGGCTGGAGGACCAGCATGAAGTCTGTTAAAGGAAGCAGACTAGATAGTTGCACAAGGCTAGACATTAGATGATATGTTCCGCAGGCTAGACTGTTGCATGGACTAGACTTTCAATGAGTTCATTAATCAGGATGCTCTACCCAGAAGTCAGGACAAGTGTGTCTAATGTTGAATGTATCCCAAGGCTAGTATCATTGCAGACATGTTTGAGGGTTTCCTCTATATTGTAGCAATCCGGGTAAATAATCGTTTCAGGTTAAATACATCCAGGACAAAGACAGAGTACACATTTGTGCAGAATGGTAAAAGTATTTTGTTCTTGACTTTGCCATGAACTCTGTGTGACCCATGGTGAGAATTACTGGTGTTGTATCAGTACTACTGCTCTCTGCACGGCAACAGGCTTCAGAGTGGTTGCTGAGCTTGTAGTGTTGGCTGCAAATCACGCACATTGTCATAATATCGGCATAACTCAACAAAGAAGGTATCACTGGGAATGATTGTTAGAAGGTCTTATCTTCCTCATTGGCCTTCTGAAGCTGGAGACAGAGAGATTGCCAGGCAGCGGCTGATGACACTTTCACATGGCAGTTTGTGAAACGGTCTGAGTCCGTGGGGAGTCAGGGTCAGGATTACAATTGGTTCCCAGCAACTGAGACTGGTTGTAGGAGGCAGCGGCATTCGGAGGTGATGGTGACATGTGGTGATGTTGTTGATAGCATGCATTATTGCTTATAGTCACTGGATTGCCTTGCCCAGACTTGCCCAGATTTGGTGTTGTATTGCTGCAATATTTCTGAATGTAGTAAGAAACCAAGCAAACTGGTTATTGGAAGTATCGCAGGCAGATGGATGATTGTTGCAGATGAGGGCATCTGGTGTAGAGAAAACTACAAGTTGGTTTCACCAAAGTGCTAGAAATCTAACTCTGTCATTGGGCTTTCCTCCCCGTATCTGGATCACGCAATGTTTCTGCAATATCTCTCAACGTAACATTAAACCAAACTCATTGATTGCATCCTGTGGTGTGAAAGAATGCATTGGAAAAACAGTTTTTAGAATCAGGATATATAAATTAGCATTGATTTTGAAGGTTTATGCCTGGCAGTCGCTTTATATGTGGGGTGGCTTTGTTCCTGTTTCCTTATTTTGGTCGCCTTATTTTGCCGTAGGTGAATACAGTGGCCAGCTACAGGTACGTGTCAGATGAGTCTGTCCACTGTCTCAGGTTGAGGTGGAGTGGAAGCAGTCAAGTCAGCCATGAGTACAGACAGGCTGAGGAAGTATAGTGTTTTCAGTATTGATTGGCTGTGTAACCTGGTCAGCTTGATGTTGGAGGACGACGTTCATGGAATCAATGTTCTGCACCTTTAAGAATATAATGTGTTGGTAGCAAACTTTAGCATTGATGGCTTCAACATGTTCAGTACAGCAGTCTCAGCGACATTAGTAGAACCCTGCAGCATTGTTGATGGAGGACAAAGTTTAGATTCAATGAAGATGACAGAATAAACTGAGGGTTGTTACCATTTTCATATCATTTCTTATCTCTGTGTATTGTGGATTCTGAGGAGACTTTGTTATATGTTTCCCAAGAAACAAGAGTGGCTAAAAGTATTCCATTTGACTTTGACCATACCTGATTTTCATCGTGGATGAAAGAGACTTCTCCCCCAGTATAGCTCCTGGGTGGCTCAGTTGTTTAGACACTGGATTCAGGTGCAGAGTTCACTCCCTTAGGTGTGCCAGACACCTATGAACATAGCTCCAAACTCTATTTGGACCTGGTTGTGTTTCTTGACAGCTCCATGCCTATGGGTTTCACCAAAACTGTAAACGTCTAAGTTAAGACAGTTGAGCTTTCCTCCCACGCCAAGCTTGATGTTGAATGACTGAAATACTTAAAGGGGAACTTGATGGATGTCAACTTCTGTATATGAAGAACATGACAGTTTGGAGTATATTCTGCTTGCCTTCATCAGGTGAATGATACTGCTGTAAGAATATCATCCTAAATGTCATGTTCCTTGTATGACAGAAGCTGACATGCATATATTCCCTGACAAGGTCACGACCACCACAGGTTAAATCACAAAAGATGGTGCTGATTACACATGATCATTACAAA